TTAGTTTTTGACTTCGTATGATTTTTCTACGACTTTTCTAAAACAGCGCAGAAAGGTTAAAGTAGTTAACAACATATAAATTTCATAACACTTTGTATTATGTTGAGCAAAGTGTATAACAATAAGTTCTAAATATTGAATGTGTTTCCTTGTTAGTTTATCATCATAAACTGAAACTTAGTCATTCATGATAAGATTATTTATTCATTTAGAACACGAATATTAAGCCATAATAAGCATAGTTTAATGGATTCATAACACTAATGCATTTTCATAAAAGAGTTCTTATATATAACGTTTTGGATAAAGTATAATAGGTATAGTTTATGATTCATCACATAACACACTCGTACAAAAAGGGTACATTCATACAAAAAGGTTTCAAACTCAAGCACACCACATGTAAACTTGTTAACTCAAAATTGTGAGACAATCTCTTTCCGTACGTCCGAGTGCGGGATCTAATTCCTGGTAGTTATAATCAGAGTCTCCTGGAGAGAGAACGTGATAGTTGTGTATAGATCTATATTGGGTTTGACACCCCACACCTTACTGCTAGCTACAGTGGGACCTGCAGGTCTATGGGTGAAAAATGTCATTTCAGGTTCGCGACGCCTGAGAAACGTCGTGGCAGGTTCATTCAGTCATAGTATGATTATAGCGACTCACATAAAGAGATAGCAATACATAAAGTTTATGGGATTTTTATAAAACCTAAAGGGGTTGTATGTCAATTTAAAATAACTTTTTATGTCAATAAGTACATATATTACTGTACACTTTCGGTTTTGGTATTTATGATTTCACATCATTTGAAACCACATTTATATCTTTAAGTATGACCGATACTTGTTACTTCTCGGTCCTGGGGTTTAGGACTATCTATACATAAAGTATTAACAAACATAAGAATTTACGGGAATTTCATTCAATTCAAACGAGTTTATGTCAATTTAAATACATATCATTTTCTATTAGCAAGAGAGGTTACTAATACATTTTGGTCTTCGGTTATAAGACTGCATTACACAGATTTTAAGGAAAATATCGGATTTTTCTGAAACAAACGTAACATTTACAAGAGAAAGATTTCTATTAAGTTCGAAAACAAAAACTTATGAACTCACCAACCTTTGTGTTGACACTTTTTCAAACAACTTGTATTCTCAGGTAATCACTAAACAGGTACCAAAGTGCGTTTTGAGGATGGGACGTAAGGTATCAATATATCATGTTTTTGTTAATGTATTGTAATTGATTTGGAAACATGTAATTCATACAATGATGTAACTTTTTCAATTATATATATATATATATATATATATATATATATATGTTGGTTGTGTTTTCTTAAATTACTATTGCATTTGTGGTTATGATACTATACATGAAGTCCTCCACCCCCGGACGTTTCCGCCATCCTTGGTTTGGGGGTGTGACAGCAACATATATAGAAATTCCTTATGTTTAACAATTCAACATAACATTCATATATATCCTTGACTAAAGTTGATAATACTCAATCTAAGATGGTAGCATTGGAACGAAGTATAAAATCCTCTCCATTAATTATAGCAAAACAGTTTTTTCAAGGCAAATTGAAACTTCTGGTTTCTATAATTAATATTGCTAACTTGCAATACTTAACATAATCATTATGCTCCCACTAGCCTAATGATTACCAGCATAACACTTTATGCTCCCACTAGCATAATCATTACCAACATAACACTTTGTGCTCCCACTAGCTTTGACATGTACTCAGAAATCAACTGGACTTCTAGAAATCAATACTTTATTGACTTTCTTACCAAAGTTCATATTTCTGATACTAGATTGCTTTGATAAGACTTTATCAAAAACATACACCTTTCCTTAGATAGCTCACATGTTTGTCTAGACCTTTTGCAATTCTCACTAGTTAGTGTACCGGTTAACCACACACGCTCCACTAACTATATGAGAATGCAAATATCACAACAACTATCTACTTAAAATCTTCTTAGTGGAAGCGTTTCCTTACCATCATTTTCATGAATCGAAGAGAAACCTTATGACACTTAGATTTTATGGTGTACATTTTCCTTTTCCATGTGAATTTTTGTCAAAACCATAATCACAGAACTAGGTTAGTGACACTTCCAAATTCATATGGACTAAACTTGTGCAATCTTAATTTCTTGCCACCTGGTAGCACAATGCCCACCATTGCTTCCGGGTTGTTATGCAAACAATTAAGAACTCATATAACTCACAAGCATAATCAACTTTCAACTGGAATAGACACAGAAATAAGAATATGTAAACACGATAGGTTACATACCTCAAGTCGTGGGCTAGTGATTAACAAAACTCTTGATTAGTTCTTGAAACTATTTCAGAATCTTTTTGACTCCCACTGTCCTCTTGACATATAAGACTTCTCTTTGTCAAGAACCATTCCTTGACAATACAAATATTCAAGAGCTAGTGCAGATTCTTATCAAGTTAAACACTTCCCATAATTGGACTTAGTTGGTCTTTATTTTATCCAAACCATCACAACTAACCAACCTCAAATGTACAAGAGTAGGACACATCTTACTCTACAATTGATAAGTGTTATAAACTTTCTAAAGATTATGTCACTCAATGGCTCAATCTTGGAGTATGACTCTAAGATTTGATTTTGATGTATGATTTATCTTTTGATTTAACCATTTCAACAACTCATGATTCCTCTCCTTAGCCAAACAAATGAACTAAGGTGTCCTTAGAGGATCAATTGTGATCTGGTTTCATAATCACTAAGATAATCATAAAACAAAATACACAAGTACTCTCCCATATCTTCAGATTGGAGAAACTTTTATCTTTCTGCCTTATTTGATTCTTCTTATTCATTCTACCATACATTGAAACTTTTCCAATGTTTCAGAATTGCACTTAAACTCATAAGCATAACCATATTTACTAAACTTTAGTAAATCATAATGAATAATCTTATCAACCTTTGTGGTGGACCTGACCAGCACACAACCAAGTGTACTCAATCTCTTAGTCCTTCACTCGACTCACATGCGAATGTGAACAAGGAATTAGTCTTAATTTACCAAAGATGAAAATTCTCATTCATCACACAATACAACTTGCATGATTCCAAGTTTCTATCCAACTGAAACTTGGGTTATGAGAATCTTTCGTTATTTGGTAAATTATGATACTATCACTAATGAAAGAATCAAATCCATTTACCCATATTGCTTATCAATGGAAACATATAAGCAACAACCTTTTTCACAAATGCCATTGTAAGGATACTTAAAATAAATAAAATCAAAACCATTTTATTTTATTTTAAAACTTTGCGGAAAACTTATCCTTACAATCCATATGGAAAACTTGTTGTTATCCTTTCCTAAGCAATATATCTAACTCTTAAGTAACAACTCACAATTCTGATCACCAAACCATGCGATCGAAATCCATCTTCACGATCAGAATTAGCATATAATTCCTTTAAGTTTCTTCACTCTTCTTTGATTCTTAAAAATCAATATGAGACCAAGTCACATCATGCAATAAGAATCTTAGAATAGAAACTTAATAAAGTTAGATAATGGACTTTACCTAAAGCAGAGTCAAACATTTGACTTTACTATCCTTATGGATTTTTAGGTAAATTAGGCAGCTTCGCAACCAATGCCATTCCTTTGGTAATAGAAACATATGGACTCTTTGGAAACGGTACACGGGACTATCACAGACTTAGCCTTTCTCTTTACCATTTTGTCAACCGAGTTGACTACGGCCAATCCCTTTCGATTGGGAAGAGAAAGTTTTTCTGGACTTCCAATGTTACCATTGTCAATGTCCATGGAAGTTTGGGAAGTTGATCTTCCAATCAAATTTTGCTTTACCAATGCTCCAAATCATTAGTGATTCAGCATCATCAAGCAAATAGGTAAGATCATTAAGGGTCATGTCGTGATCTGTCATCAGGGAGTGACCAAGTCAACAGCCAGCTACCTTGAGACTTCGACACCCGACTCTCCCGGCTTATCAATATGTGACTTCATCTCCAAGACCTAAGCACATATAGACTTTGTTTGCCAATAGGGATTGAGTGACTTAGAACTTATCATGTCTTAAAACTTGTGGGATAGGGAGATTTATTGGAGTAGGTGAAGGAAGTGAGGTATGATTTTCAGTCCCACTAATTCACAACAAAGGGATTGATATTTTCACCTTGGTTGTCATCTGGGATATCATCTTCATTAGGAATATTCTTCCTAAAGATTTGGGAAGACCATAGCTGTCTAAACTAGACATCTATAAGGGGAGAAATTCAAGTTAGTTGATTTAAAGTCCTTAATATAACACCTAATACGAAATATTAAGGCTAGGACCCAATAACCTATTTATAACTGGAAGAGGGATGTTGTAATCCAAATTATAAAATAGTTAAAGGTAGGTAAATGACGATTTACCAATTTCCACCATGAACAACAAAATATAATTAAGTTTTAATTGGATTTGAAACTCCTAGATCTTTTGAGATACATTGAACTTTTCAATGGCATGTTTGAATCTCGATTATGCCCTCTCAAGTTTGTGACTGGGATGCCGAGGATCACAAACAAGGTGTGAATAACCATACAACACTACAAGAAAAAGACCCTTTTACGATGCGGAAAACACGATGCTCTTTGATTTATGTTACGCAAACGAGAGTAACATTAAAAACGTGTCATCTCTTCAAAAATTTTAAGGATTTAGGTCGCGCATTATTGAGCGCCCTTAAATTAGTGCCATAAGAAAAAAAATTAAAAACACGAAGGGCGCTATATCTTAACTGCGCGTCCTCTGTAGGTGTCGCTTTATAATTTTTATGAACGCGCGTTCCTTAGTTACAAGCGGGAAAAGAAAAGCCAAAAAATTAGAAAAGCCCGCCACCCTCTTTGCCCTGAGCGTTTTGATGCATCTTTCATTCTCCTCTCACTATTGTGCAACTTCTCAATCACAAATCCAAGGTTACAATTTCATCTCCATCTCTCGACTTCATCATATCAATAAAGAAAAAATGCTTCTGATTTCAATTCATCTGCTTCATCTCTGCTGTGATTTGACCTGCTTCATCTCTGTTGTTCTTGAGAATACTCGCCAACAGTGTTCTTGCATTATTCCTTGACCTGCTTCTTTAGGTATTCTTTTCTCCATAATATCTTCAAAGACATTCTCACACGATTTTTAAAAAAATCATTTGTTCTCTATCAAGAACCCTAGCCATCACTCACACCACCATATTTGTAGTGTGTTCTGTTCAGATGTATAGGCATCGATGAAACAAGGAATTGTGATATGGAAGGCTACCCAAGTATTAACTCTTCAAGATTCAGACCGCCAACACCACTACAAATACATTCTCACACGCTTTCTCAAAAAATCCAATCCTTGCAGCCCCCAACACCCCATCTACATCAGACCACCAACACCACCACAAACAAAGGTTCGAATTCCCCTTTCTCACAAGATGGAAGATCAAAAGAAGTTTTATGGTTAATTTTGTAAACTAAGGGTTTATTTTCATTCCAATTTCTGTTGAACAAGTCGGTAGTTTTCCATTTATCTCTTCTATTTCAGTTTTTCTCAAATTAGGGCTTGCTATTACCAATCGTCATCTTCATGATCATCTTCAACTTCTTGTTTAACAGTCGTCATCAAATTAGGGCTTGCTACCCGACCCATTTTTGGAGTCTTTTGAATGGCTACACAATGTATTGGAGTCGCAACTTGAAGCACCATTAGGAACCACCATTGATTCAGAATAATACTCGCTCATGGTTCGACAGTTTGGCAGATTGAGACGATCACAAGGACCATACATGAGTCGGGCAGCTTCATCATAAGCTAGGGCAACTTCAACTGCTGACCCAAAAGTTCCAAGCCATAATCAACTACATCTATTGGTTTCTCGAATCTCAGCTACCCAATTACCCTATGTTCGTCTGAAATTACACCTCGAGTTCTCAGGTCCTCCTTTACATTTCATGCAAAATTCAATTTTATCTACTGGGTTTATTTTCATTAAACTAAATAAAAAAAGCAAAATTCAATTTTATCTACTAGGTTTATTTTCATTCCAATTTCCATTGAACAGGTCGGTAGTTTCTCTATTTATCTCTTCTATTTCAGTTTTTCTCAAATTAGGGCTTACCAACTTTATGATGAAATGCCTAAGAGAAAAATTCCAACCAAAAGTGCATTTTGATTCCCTTTCAAACACTTCAACGAACTGACCATATTACCCTTGTGGTAGTTACCTTTTGTATCATTAGTGAACTGAACTTGGTTCTCTGTAATGTGCAGACAAGGCAAAATGCTCTCTTTTCTGTACTAAGTAGGATGTTCACCATGAAGAGGAGATCTGTACCAAGGTTAATAAACTCAAATTCACTCTTAAGTTTTTTTCTTATATTTTTACGTGAGCCATTGATTCCTTTCATTTTCTTCATTTCATTCCTTATCCATGTTTTTTATTTGAATGGATGACAGAGTAATGGTGAACTTAGGATGATGGCTTTTGCACAAGAAGAGTTATGGGAAAATCTAGTGAGCGTATTACTTTGCATGAAAACATGGAGGGTGAACAAGCTATTCAAAACCAAGTCCATGAGTCAGTTTTCATCTGTTTCTCTGCTTCCTACTTTCACCATATACTTACTTAGTTTATCCAATTTGGAAAGGGATAAATCATAAATGTTTATTTTTTATTAAGGCGTTGTGGTGTGGATGAATGATTTATCATGTCTAATAATTAGGCTAGTAATAGTTGGTAACTTGGATGCTGTTGTGAATTTATTGCTTTCAACTCCTCCAGACAGCTTCTTCTTCTACCCAAATGCTTTGTGTGCTGTTACTCTTTCCCCTACTGTCTCCAGATCTTTAAGTGAACTCGCAGTAAAGGTAACATACAATTGCCATCTCATCTTTTTTATTTTATTTTTCCATCATAAATAATTTCTTTTTTAATCGTTAGGTGGTTGCAACAAATATGGTGAGGACTGGCAGGTCATTATCTGGCACACACCTCCTCTGTGTTGTTGGGAGATATCAAGAAGCTTGTTCACAGGTGTTGATTGCTCTCATGTCATGTCATTCACATTCATTTTTTGCTTATTATTATATAATATTAAATTATATTTAGAATTCCATCATGAATCAAGATTGTTTTTTATTAAGTTTGTCAGCTGCAAGATGCAGGGTGTTGGACAGATGCTACAACCTTAGCAGTAACACATTTAAAAGGAAGTGATTATTCAAGGTACTTTATTTATTAATCCCTTCTTGTATGATAATATATATATATATATATATATATATATATATATATATATATATATATATATATATATATATATATATATATATATATATATATATATATATATATATATATATAATAAAACAAGACAACATTTTGATTTTCTCAAGTCTTCATATTAAGAGAAATATTTCCAATTAGTTTTAGTTATATACATTTTTAATTTTGAGTGTAGGGTAATGAAAAGATGGGCAGAACATGTGTTAAATGCAGATAATAACATGTGGAGGTATCATCATTTTATTTTCAGTAAAAACAAATAAATAAAGGTTTTCAAAATTACTTAGCGTATACGTATATGTATTTTTCCTTAATTCCAGGGTCCTAATAATATATGTAACAGTGGCATGTTTACAAGAAGCATTGGCGGTGTTGCATGAAGCTCATCGACCAGATAGTGCGCCGATGTTCATCATAGCCTGCCGGGAAATATATTACGTTAAAGCCCTTTTCGCGTGCTTATTTTAAATTTGTAGATTTGCTTTTGGGAAACATTTTATATTTATTTTTGGAAGCTATTTGTTGTAGGTCACATTCTTTTCACAAAGCACAATACCTTATTTTTCAAAAGATGATACATTTATTATGGATTCTCGATGAAAGGTATGATTTGTTTCATATTTTTATTTTGCATTTTGATGAATATAAAGAAAATGTTGAATTGTTTTTTGGGTTTGGTCCAAGGGCAAGATGGTCGTTTTTGAAAAAAAAAAAACTAACAGCCAAAAAGTAATCCCATCCAAGAGAGGGACCAAACTTGGAATGAACCAACATCATAAGGACCTTTTTAAGAAAAATATTTATTTATTTATTTATTAATATTATATATGTTGGGATTAAAACCCTAATTGAGATTTGATGAACAAGATGCGGAAAATAAGAACAAACACAAATATGAAGATATGTCGAATGATCACTCGATTTATTCAAATATGAGGAATAAATTACACTTTCAGCATAGACTAAAGAATCTAACACTACATAAGAAACCTCACGTGGCGGCTACATTTTGCCTCACTCTTAACCCTAATTGTGAATAATACATGACTATTTATAGGGAAAAGAAAAGTCTTGGGATTTTAACCTAGAATTCATCAAAGGGGCCCATTGACATCATCCATGGAGTGTTTTGATGTAACATCCGGATTTTACCAGGTATCTTGTAAATCTAATTTTGTCATATTGTGAGAGGGACTCGGCGAGTTGGAGCTTAGACTCGCCGAGTAGAGACGTGGAATTGAACATTGGTGCGCGCCTGGACTCGGCGAGTCTGCGCTGTGTAATGGAACCCTAAGTCTCCGGGTTTGGGGCCTATTTAAAGGGCCTTATGGCCGTCATTTGTGCTCACCCAACCCTCAGTGAGTGACCCTTGTGTTCTTGAGCTATTTGTGAAGAGAAAGGAGCCATTCTTGATCTTGTGTGTGTGTTCTAGCAAGAAGAAGGAGACCCTAGGCAAGAGGAAGCAAAGGAGGTTGCTATTTCGTGGATTTGGAGCTTAGATCATCACTCTAGAGGTATTATCTCGGACCATTTTCTGTTTAGTGAAGCATGATGCAATTTAGGGCTTGTGGTGGTCATTTATGGGATGATTTGATGCCCATTGGTTCCCTCTTTGAGTTGAGGCCATGGATCTGGACCCATAGAGGTCCAGAGAGCCTCACTCATCAAGCTTTATGAGTGCCAATAGAGTCTTTGGCCTTGTGTTGTAGTATTTGAGTCATAAACATCATATATGGTCATATAAAGGTTGTATGTGCATCAAGATTGTAACTTTACGTGCTAAATGAGCTTGGAGGGACTGGATCTATGGATTAATGAACTGGATCTGACCTTTAGAGCATGATTGAGTCAGTGCATGGCATGGACTCGCCGAGTCCGAAGAACAGACTCGGCGAGTAGCATGAATGTTGCCCGACCACTCTGTGAGTGGCCTCGCCGAGTTGGGAAGGGTGGACTCAGTGAGTCAAGGGGGAGTCAGAATGGACAGGTGGACTGAGTCTAGCTGGACTCGCCGAGTTGTTCTTGAGACTCGGCGAGTTGAGTTGTGGTGGCCCCACAACTCGTGCCAGGTGGAACTCGTCGAGTTGAGGGAATGCTCGACGTGTCAAGGGAGGATTCCAGGGAAATTGGTGTACACGCCCAGACTCGCCGAGTCGCCTGGGTACTCGCCGAGTCCGGTCAAAGTTGACCGTTGACCGTTGACCAGCGTTGACCTAGATTGACTTGTTATAGTGTGGTCAGCCCCAGTGGGGAAAGTGTTAATTAGAGGTGTATTGTGCTATAGGGGGGACGACAGCTCGACAGGTCGAGTGATTAGCGATTTCAGGTTTACGAGTTACCGAGACACGCGAGGTGAGTCTTCTCACTATACTTTACCTTGAGTAGGTAACCAGAGTTATGTGATAGAGTATTTGTATGCTATGTATGTTATGTGTTGTACTGCATTACTTCTATGTGTTTGATGCTGTGCATGTTTATAGAGTTAGAACCGGAAGGTTCACAGAGTTAGAACCTGAGGGTTCACAGAGTTTGGGTGCACGGACCCACAGAGTTATAGCCTTGAGTGGCTAATATGTGTTATATGTAGTATTTTGGGGAACTCACTAAGCCTTGTGCTTACAGTGTTGATGTTATTGTTTCAGGTACTAGTGACGACCGCGGGAAGGCGCCGGCTTGATCCGTACACACACACACATTCGGAGCTTGATATCATGATCTTGGGATTTTGTATTGCCTTGTTTGGATACTTAAAATGGTTGTTTAATGAATATCAATGGAATTATGTTTTATAAAGATTGAAAAATTTGTTTTGAAAATTTTCGGTGTTACATTTGAAACCCTACAATCTCCCCCTCAAAGTATGGAATGGATGACAATGCTTTAACTTCCAAAACAAGCATCTAGCAAATAAAAAGATTTGCAACGAGGAATATATGAAGCAATCCGCGAATCTTGATTCTTCAATAGTCTTCAATCACGGGCTTTAGGATATATAAATCAAGCACTGAAGTAACGTCTTTAAACTTCATTTTCGAATGTAATCCCAAAGAATCTTCATGAAAACCAAACCCGCCATAAAAACCCATTTCATAACAAAGAAACTGAATCACTTCTTGTCTTTGAAGAGTTCCCCCTCCAAGTCACAATGATCTTCAAATAAGCTAATGATATAAGCCATCAAAAAAATATCATGTAACAACCCAAACTTTAAGATTCCTAACGCCACTTGATCGAGAAAATACAAGAAGTCGGAGATATAACAAGTCCTTAGCAGAGCTCGATAAAGAACTTCCGCTGTAAAGGATACTTCTCTATAAAATCTTTAGCAGAGCTCGATGAAGAACTTCCGCTGTAAAAGCTACCTTCATAATTCTACCACAAACTTTATCAAAAAACTTCAACTTTGAAAAGTCATAAATCCAATTTTGAATGGCCATACCAAATTCTCCCCCGAATGATAATCGAAAACGTGATTATAAAGCCTTCTTATGGTCATGAGAATGGTCTTGAATGGATAAAAATTTACTAAGCTCCACCGTGACAAAATGATATAAACGATGAAGTATAAAATCCGAAAAAGTCGTGAAAATTTGACGTTATCACGAAAAACGACTCTCTGAACCGCCAAGACTTGATGGAATCTTTACCTTTCTGTTCACGAAAAAATATGTGCTTTAAAAAAATTCAAAACTCTTCACCGGCCCTCAAATTTGCAAACTTTTCAAAGAATAGGCTGAAACTATCATATTGCTGAAAGTTAGGGGATTAAAATAATAAATCTGCATCATATTCCCCTTCATTTGTAACAGTTTCTGAATATGATCCAAAACTTCCAAGTCATGAAATATACAGGTACCATAGCTATTAAATCACTGAAGTTTTAGGGACCAGAATTGTAACTTGAGTCATCTTCCCCATTAAATCAGTGAAATGAAACAATACAACGACAACAATCACGCGATTAAATTCCGAATCCAAGAAATCGCCATCCACGAATTACACTTTAGTTCCAAGCACAAAAATGTGAATCTGAGTCCAGTCCCAACGCGAGCACAAATCAATTTTGACATTCGTATGTGAAGTGAGTTCGAACCTAGAATGACTTTCGCAACTTCAATTGAGAGATAGTTCGCACCGAATCAGAAAGTGTGAATCAAGGTAACCCTGAATCATTGACCTCTCGCTCCGAATCAATCAATGAATCACCGAACCAATGCAAATCTTAAGTAACAACAAATCCAAGCATAGATTCGGTGCGAACCACAGTCAATGATAGTTCATAGGTAAGAGGTTCAACCCAAGTCAATGTGGATGCGAATCAGTATGACCCTGAATGCAAGCATTACGAGCTCCTAAATGCGAGCCTAGTCGAGTCTGAAACCAGTCTTAATTTGGACTTTCGTTTGGATATGAGTGCAACCCAAAATCCCAGTAGTATCGATTCCAAGACCATTCGTAGGAAAGATCAATCATATTGATTTTGACTTCCAAGGTTTGACCAACATTTCGATTCTGAAATTAACTTCACATTTGCGATTATTCTCAATCTGAATTGTTTTGCATCCTTCCCTTCATTACGAACAAAACGATCAAAATCCATCTTCTTTCACCAGTTCATGTTCCGACATTGCAATTTGATCAGAACGATGAGCAATCAAACTGATTTTGGCTTTCCAAATTGATTGTTTTAAGCACTGATGGCAATACCCATTTGGCGATTGAGAACCTGACTCCAATTCAATTCCAGATCAACAATCTACTTTCTTCGTTTACATAACTCGATTTTGAATTTTCTTTTTAGGACCATCAAGACCGATTATTGATTAATACCAAAATTGACTTTCTCAGATCAATCCAGCCACTATACAACATCGACATTCAATGAAAGAATAGATTGACAAGATTAAACCCAAAATCAATAAAATCAAATTTTGATTTTGACAATAAACCCATGTACAGATAACGACTCAAGAATGAAGGAACAAAGAATTCAAGATACGTTTTTTTTACGAATGGATCGAATTTGTAGTATACGATATCAATGAACCCTTATTCCACAGATCAATATTAGTGGGCTAAAGCATAGTCAAAAATTAAATCTTCGATTTTGTTGAGTCAAACAACGATCAGAAACCATCGATAATGGGCTCAAGAATGAACAGTGAACAAACTTGAATAAACGGAATTGAATAAATGGATTAAATCAAAGGAAATAAATCCATTAACATCAAACGATTAGATCAACCCAATGAATAGTAAAAAGAAACGGATTAAAAGATATACCAGATAAACAATAGAAGAACACCATAAATCATCATGAACAGTAGATAAAAAACCTTGATTCCAAAATGCCAAATCACCAAAAATCTTCAATAACTTGTGCAGAAAATCATCAAACCAAGAACCGATACTTTAAAAATCAATAGATCTTCAAAGACTGGCTCTGATACCACTTGTTGGGATTAAAACCCTAATTGAGATTTGATGAACAAGATGCGGAAAATAAGAACAAACACAAATATGAAGATGTGTCGAATGATCACTCGATTTATTCAAATATGAGGAATAAATTATACTTTCAGCATAGACTAAAGAATCTAACACTACATAAGAAACCTCACGTGGCGGCTACATT